CTGAGTGCAAAACCAGGAGTAACCCTTGTGCATCACTGGGTGATGCACAAAAAGCAAAAAAAAAAAAAAAAAAAAGAAAGAAATAAAGAAAGAGGGTGGGAGGGATACTGGGATCCGTGGTGGTTGGAAATGGGCACTGGTGGAGGGATGGGTATTTGATCATTGTACAATTGAAACCCAAGCACAAAAATTTGTAAGTCTACAACTGTACCTCATGGTGTCTCACTAATAAAAATGAAAAAGAAAGAAAGAAAGAAAGAAAGAAAGAAAGAAAGAAAGAAAGAAAGATTATTTTCTGCTTGTGAAAGAAGCAATCTTGGGGGATGGTTGAGAAAATGGGAACAATGGTGGATGGAAGGTCACAATGGTGGTGTTTTTGGTGTTATTTTGGGATATTTAAAACCTGTAACAAATAGATTATAAACAACTTTATAAACCACGATGTTTAAATGAAGGGCAGGAAATACAAGAAAAATATTCAATAAAATTATTATCTCAAAAAAAAATTTTTTTTAGCAATCGATGAACAGGAGGACAGTGACAGTGACAATGACAGAGCGACAGCACAGTGGGGATGGTGTTTGCCTTGCACTCAGCTGATCCAGGTTCAATAACTGGCATCCCATATGGTCCCCCAAGCACAGTCGGAAATAATTCCTGAGTGCAGAGCCAGGAGTAAGCCCTGAGCATCACTGGGTGTGACCAGAAAAAAAAAAATTTTTTTTCTTCTGTTTTTTTTTCTTCTTTCATTTAGTTTGGCTTTTGGGCCACATCCATCGGTGCTCAGGGATCACTCCTTGTGATGCTTGAGTGACCATATGGGGTGTCAGGGATCAAACCCAACCAGGTGCATGTAAGACACACAATGACTAGTTCTTCAAATACCTACCTCAAAAAGTTTGAAACAGCATCTTTTGGGGGGATGATCTTAAGGATAATTTTTCACTCCATAAAGCCACAATGGCTCCTTGGAACCTAATGACTCAAACATGCATTTTTTACAAGATGTTAGTTTTGAAGAGGGTGAGGTTGAACACTAAATTTAAGGTAATTGGTAATGTTAGGCCACGGCTATGGGAAGGTTTAAGATTAGGATTAGAGTTAGGTTTAGGGTTCAGTTTGGAAGTTAGGGTGTAGAAGTTAAGGGAAATTTAGAGCAAGTGGTAGTGTTAGGACAAAACCAGGGTAAGGGTAAGGAATAAGCTTAGAGTAAGGTTTTAGTGATGGCTATAGGCTAGAGCAATAGCACGGCAGGTAAGGTGTTTGCCTTGCATGAAGTCAACATAGCTGACCTGGGGTCGATTCCTCTGCCCCTCTCGGAGAGCCCGGCAAGCTACCGAGAGTACCTTGCCCGCATGGCAAAGCCTGGGAAGCTCCCCGTGACGTACTCAATATGCCAAACACAGTAACAAGTCTAACAATTTGTTGTGAGACGTAACTAGTGCCCACTCGAGCAAATTGATGAACAACGGGAGGACCGTGCTACAGTGCTACAGTGCTATGGTAGAAACAGAATGAAAGTTAAAGTGAGGTAAATGATAAATTTGGGGTAACTAATAGGCTAGGCAGGGTATGGCTAAGAGGATGGAGGGAGAGGGAGGAGAAGGAAGTGGGCCAGGGCAAGCGGGGAAGGCAACTGCCTTGCACATAGTGGACCCGGGTTCAATCCCCAGCACTGCCATGAGTGATTCCTAAGTGCAAAGCCAGTAATAACCCTTCAGTATCGCCAGGTGCAGTCCAAATAAAAAAAAATTTTAAAAGCAAAGGAAAGAAAGAGTTAGGAGTTAGGGCTCAGGTTTAGCCATGATAGAAGTTGAGAATTAAAGTTAGGATATGGGTGAATTATAAATTTAGGATACTGGCAAGGTTATACCAAGGCTCTAGTAAGGTTAGAATTAAAAATAAATAAAAGTTGTCAGGGGGCCACAGTTTTAGTACATCAGGAAGAATGTTTGCCTTATACCCAGCCAGCCTGAGTTTAATCCCCAGTATCCCATATGGTCCCCTAAGCTCTGCCAGGAGCAATTCTCGAGCACAAAGTCAGGAGGAAGCCCTCAGCATTGCCAGGTACAAACCAAAAATAAAACGAAACCCCCCCAAAAAAGCTGTCTAATATAAATTTTAAAGTATTGCAATTAAGTGAAAAGGACGATAAATTAAAACTTTGAGCCTAGCGTTATGCTTGCAGCTCCACTCCTAGGTGAGGCTGTCTCCAGCCGCTATCACTGGGCCTGTCCCACCATCCCAGGCACAGTCGCCTCTGGTTGACATCACTGGAGCTGCCCCTACCAGGTGGGTCCCAGCAGCCTCCACACCCAACCTGCGCCACAGTATGAGCCCACATCACAGCACCTAAAGAGGGCCGACACTTACGCAGCATTGTGACATCTCTACTCAACAAATTACACACTGCTCCCCCTATTCTTCCTGTCATTCTGTAAGGACGGCAGAAAGGACAGAGAGCAATCTCCCGCTTAATCCCTCAGCATCTTCCAGAGGGGCACCTCCAAGCACTCATCACCAGCACAGCAAGAACACCAGAAAACGAATGGGGAAGCCACCAAGCTCCACGAGCGAAAATAGTATCACCAAAGACACAACCACCACCAGCAAATCCTCAGGCAGTCTTTAGTGACACTATAATGAGGATGTTCAATGAGCTCAAAGTAACAATAGGTAGTCAACAAAGCAGAAAAAAGTATGAGTAGAAATGAAAAAAAACACAATAAGAAATGACAGAAATGAAGAACGAACATGGTATGTAACAAAAAAGTCAACAGAAGTTCTGAAAAGCAGAACAAAAGCAGCTGAACAAAAGATAAATCTCCAGGACACATTCAAAACAACAAAATCCAACAAAAAAAATAGAATGCTGAATGCAGCAAGATCAAGAAAGGAACATAAACATGTATAAAGAAAAATCCATAAAATGTACAGCAGGTCTATCAAATGAGACTTCATGAGCCAGAAGAATAAGGATATAGTACAAAACCTTAACAATATGAACACCTTGTCAAGAATACTCTATCCAGCTAGATTATCATTTGAATTTGAAGAACTATAGAGCTTCACAGACTGGCAACAGCTTAGAGAATTTGTAGCTTTGAACCAGGTTTGCAAGAAGTGTTACAAGAGCTCCTTTAAATGACAGGAGAAACTTCCCCTCACCTGGCACTGAGTATGGCACTCACTAATGCTGCATATGGTTGTCCTCTACCAGATCAAGAAAGGTTAAAAACATATAGCAACAAATCATCACTGATTTTCACTGATCTACTTTCTGATAATTCTACATCCCATTCCTTCATGCTATTTCATACCAAGTAACATGGAATAAATTTCTCCTATGCCTGCCAAGGGCACAGGCGACGGTGAGAGAAGACCTGGAGAATGGGGAGGAGGGCAGTGATGGTGGGATTGGTGTGGGAATGTGTATGCGGAAACAAGTCTATGATGAACAACTTAGTAAATCAAGTTGTCTCAATAAACATTCCTGAAAAAAAAAATCAAACCTCTGGATTATCCAAGTCTAGACTATGTCCAATATGGCTGTCATAGCTACGTATGGCATTCAGTCATTTGAGTTTAAGTAGAATTAAGTAAAACAAAAATCCAGTTCTTCAGCCAAGCCACTCACATTTCAGATGCTCAAAAGTTACATGTACCCAAAGCAGCAGTTCTCCATTATAGAGCACAGGCACAGAATACCAGTTCCAGAATGAGTTCTACTGGACATCCCTGCTCTGGAAGCATCTGCCAGAAAAGTGGCAGAACACCTATCACATGATTTTTTAAAGCTACAGATAGAAATATTGTATATTGACTGATGGTAGGTGATTGATACAGACAATTTATTACAACTCATGAAAACATGCAAAACAGGACCACTGTGGCCTTTGGGGACAATCCAAAAGAAAAGTCAAAAGACCCTGCCCAGGACCCTATTGAAAGTTCCAAAGGAATACTTATTTAGGTATTTCTTCAGCCAAGACCCTGGGGTTCCAGCTGGCTAGAGGCGACAGCAGAAGTGAGGGCACAAATGTCCCTCGGCCCTCCTAAAACAGACTACAGCCTACTATAACCTCATATTATCTAACAAATCCTCAGAGCCACGGCACTCACTGATGCTGCTCAGTGCTTAAAGACAGTGAAGAAGCATGTGAACCTGCACGGATATATTTAACAAGACATACATGGCATGTGAAAGATTCATCAAACCATTTAAAGATTTAACATCGAGGAATCTAAACAGCCCAGTATTACCTATAACCATCATTCCACACTCGCATACATCAACAGAGTAATCAAGGCTCACAGTCAACCATCCCCACGACCACCAACTCCTCTAACAGAATGACAAGGACCTCACGCTCTAGTTCTATTTGGATTTGTTTTTGTTTTTGTTTTTAAAGTTCTGTTTTGCTTTTGGGGCCTTACTCCTGTGCTATCTCTCTGGTTCCACAACTCGATTCTTAAAAGACATATTAAAAGGGGGAGGGGGACAATTCAGGCTCCTCAGATTCAGTCAAGAATAATTATTCTCAAATTGGTTCTCTGACATTAATATCTGAAAGTGACAGAATACTTTGACCTAGATTAGATTAGCAGTTAAGTAAAATATATTATTTTATTCCAACATTATCACTAATTGTTTTCAATGATTTATTATAATAGTTTTCAATGACTTATTAGAGATGGAAGGAAATGTTCAAGGAGAGGTTAAAATTATGCTTTTCTAAAAAAATTACAAATAAGAGTATCATATAGTCTAATGAATTTAAAATATCATGCTTTATTAATTTAACTCATTTTATACCATTAAAATTCATAATATGAAAAAACAAATCAAATGAAAGCAAAAGACTAAAATACAACCAAGTAAAACTTGCTTGATCTCTTTGAACTTTTCCATTAATGTAGAAAACCTAATACTGTCACTACAGTACTTATACAACACAAAATAAAAATTTACAGCATTTGTAAATAAATAGAATACTTACCACAGTCGGATTGCCACTACTTATCAATTGGCTGACTTCATGAAAAATGCTTTTGCAGTCAATTGATTTATCTAAGGATCCTCGTTTTACGATCACTGCTACTGCTAAGAGAATCTGTTCCCGAACATATTTTTGGAGGCTGTAAAACATAAAAAGGCACTGTGAAAACATCGACATGAATCTAATTCGAAAATGTTCCCAAAGTTCTTACAATAATACCTCAAGTCAAAGACATTCACTATCTGCCTGCATCTGAGGATGGCACAAGCTCCTGCAGAGAGCACCCAAGCCTGTCATGAGGAGTAAACGTTCTTGGGGGATGGGGGTGGCTCAACAGGACAGAGCACATGCCCATGCATGACACCCTGAGTTCAGTCTCTGGCACTGCATGTCCTCCTCCCAAGACACCCCACACTTGTGTAGCTCTGGCGGTCCCAAGCACACTGAACCCTGGTAGCTGGGAGCCAGAACCAAACTGTCAGGTGAAGAAACCCCAGGACTGACCCCTAGCCACTCTGGTCCCAGCACTCCTAGAAACATCCTTCCCTTTTATCTTTAATTACTGAAGTCGAGGGAGAGATACACCTAGTGGCAAGAAGGAATCACTCCCAGCGGAGCTCAGGACATGACTGGAGGTGCTGATGGAGAGTCAACCACATACAAGACACCTTACCCCTTTACTATCTCTCTGCTCTCCCCAACGTTAAAAGGGAAAAAAAGATTAAACGTTCTTAAAACTGAACATACTGAGCACTCAGGGCTGGAGTGATATCACAGTCAGTAGGACATTTGCCTTGCATGCGGCCTACCCGGCTGACCCAGGTTCAATTCTTCCACGCCTCTCGGCGAGCCCGGCAAGCTACCAAAAGTATCTCCCCTGCACGGCAAAGCCTGGCAAGCTACCCATGACGTATCCGATATGCGATATGCCAAACACAGTAATAACAAGTATCACAATGGAGACATTATTAGGCCAGCTTGAGCAAATTGATGAATGGGGGTGGGGGCGGGGGGGGGGGGGAGAGAACAGTGCTACAGTGCTACAGTGCTACTGAGCACTCAAAATACTAGTGCTTGGGGGCCAAAGAGATAGTACAGTGGGTAGGGCATTTGCCTCACACACAGTTGACCTGGGTTCAAGTCCAGGCATCCTATATGATTCTCCAAGCACTCCCAGGAGTGATTTCTGAGTGAGAGTCAAGAGTAATCCCAGAGCATCGCCCCAGGGTACGGCCCCAAAACCAAAATAAATAAATAAACTATCAAACTAATTTTCCGCAACTAACACGTTGCTTAAAAGTGTTCAGTAAATATGTGTTCAGAGTTTAGTAAATTCACTAAGAGTCAGATTTTTAAGACTTCACTATTAAGATGTGAATCCAGACTGATACCTATGTCCACCAAAAGTCATTATCAATTATAATCAGAAGTTATAGTAGTTATTTTATGTGGAAGAACAACATGCTATGTACCTAAGGTGCAACATTATGGAAATGTACAAGTTCCAAGTAATATTTTCAAAAGCATGTGTCTCCTGTCAGCATGGTGACTGAGCTGATGGTACTGGAAAGCCCTGGATTGTGAGGGCACAGAACACTCACTGCCTTTCACAGCCTTTTCTCAAAGGGAAAGCTCAGGAAACAAGTCAAGCTTTCGAATGCAGCCTCTAAAAACCGCAGCATACACCAACCATGTGTCCTTGGATAGACAAAATCCCAACTTCTTCAGATGGCTTCTCAGCACTGGAACCCAGCCACGTTTTCCTGGGGCCTGCTGCCAGCAAGCACAGGCATGTGTCTCTGTATACAGTGCTTCCTTTCACCCTGGAAAGTATTCCCTTTGGATAAATGAGATGGACTGTGACTCCTAAGGTCCCTCAAAGATCACAGGCTGACGCCCCCAGTCAATCTCACTCCTTCCACACACCGGGAATGACAGGTGGATTGGATTTCTCCCAGATCCTGGCACAATACTTGTATCCTGGGAAGTCTGAGAATCCCACTGGGAGCTCGAAGCATCTCCTAGGACCAGATTAGTCTGATCCCAGATCAGCTGCCACAGTAAGTCTATTGCTAATGCAATTGCACAGCAATGCACACACCTTGCCTGACACATGAATCACATATTAAACATTAATGCAGATGAATGATCATGTCCCCACAATGTCAAGGAAAAAAAAAATTTAAGACTAAAGTAAAAAATATGCTTTCAAAGCAGATTTAAAGTATCCATTTAAAGGTAAGGTAAAGGTAAAGGCCATCCCGTTGATCTTCGATTTGCTCAAGAGGGCCCAGTAACGTCTCCATTGGAGACTTTGTTGTTACTGTGTCTGGCATATCGAAGTATCCATTAACCAAAAAAAATGCAGACATCCTATAAATTTGTTACAAGGTTAGATAAATTATATAAAAATCTGAAAGTTATAAGGTGCCCGCCCAAGGAGTTTTCTACTTTTGGAAGGCCACAATAATTACAAATACACTACTAAAAAATTATATGTTTACTACAACTATTAGACAAAATCATAAAGCTAGTTTAATATCTCTATTTAAATATCTCTAAATATCTGACAAAAATAACAAGTTACTATGAAAATAACTAATTAACATTTACTTAATGTTAGTTATAAAGTACAAACTATATAAACTTAATATCACAAAAATTAACATCTAACTCTTATAATACCCAACACAGTAAATTATTTACTGTACTCAATACTGAAAAAGTATTACATAAAACAATTAAGTAACAGGGTTAATAGACAGCAAAAGATCTTAGCCTTTTTAACACCGTGGTTTAAGTTGTCCATGATGCATTTGTCACAAGCATTCAATATTCCAACACCAACTCCCCCAGTGTGACCTTTACTCTGTCACTGTCCCCATTTTCCCAACCACCCGGAGCCTGAACCTTTAGCAAACACAAAATGATGTATTTTACATTGTTACAAAAAAGTGACTTAGAATATTTTCAACAATGTTTATCCTTAGCAGGCTGGAGAGACAGCACGGCAATTATATGCAACGCTTGCTGCCTGGAGTGATCCCTGAGCGGAGTCAGGAGTAGCCCTGAGCACTCCCAGTTTGGCTCACAAAGAAACATATACCCTTGAGTTTCTGGGGATGATGGCTCTAAAGGCACTTGTTTCCATCGTGCATCCCAGGTCTGATCCCCAGCACATGATCCCCCAGGCATCATGCCTGGAACTGGAGGGAGTGTACCCAAATGTAAAAAGAAAAAAACAGAAGTGTAAGCCAACATTTAACTCTATCTATGAAGTTCGGGCTGGAGCGATAGCACAGCGGGTAGGGCGTTCGCCTTACACGCGGCCAACATGGCCGACCCGAGTTCGATTCCTCCGCCCCTCTCGGAGAGCCCGGCAAGCTACCGAGAGTATTCGATATGCCAGACACAGTAACAACAAAGTCTCCAATGGAGACGTTACTGGGCCCGCTCGAGCAAATCGACGATCAACGGGAGGGCCTTTACCTATGGAGTTCATCTCAGGGGGAAATACCAAGGAAAATATTGCACACGGGACATAAATACACAGCATTACGTATGCAGAAGTCTATTACAGGGAGCCTGCAACACTCCACCTATGCCGTTCACCAAAAATTTCACTTGGCTCCAGTCCATATCGTAAGATAATACACAAAATAAAAGTGACTGTCAGGAATACAGAGAAAGAAATTATTGCAGATTAAGAGAAACTAAAGAGACACGACAACTAAGTACAATGTATAATCCAAAATATAAATAAACCCTCCAATTGAGAAAAAGGATATAAATAACACCAATCAGATAACCAGAGATTCGACTGAGAATCCAACTTATACTTGGTGTTATAAATATGCCACTTATATAAAAGAGCAGTTGCTGAGATGAGGTTATTCAGAGGGAGATGTTTAAGGACGAAGTACCCTGATTTCTATGCATGCTTTAGCACTCGCATGTGTAAGAGAGAAACCATCGCAGGTGTGGGTCGGAGGGAGGGCACCATGAGTTGCAGCTCGCACTTGGCTGTGCATACAAGAGACCCAAGTTCCCTCTCCACACTGCATGGTCTCCTGGGCACCACCAAGAACAAACCCTGGACAAGTGTAAGGAACTGAGTCTAAGTACCCCTGAGTGTTTGCTCTCACCACCACCTCCTCTCCCCCAAGTAAGATTTGTTAACTCAGCCACTTCTAGAGGAAGGGTCTGTGCAAGTGCAGTCATTGTACTCCTCCAACTCTATTGAAAGTTTTTTTTTAATCGTAAGTTGAGAAGAAATTATTTAAGTGATTTATTTCAATATGTATCCTAACAATCAATCCAAAAGTAGCTTCTGAGCTACTTTATGTTTTATAATTCCTGACACTGTATACGGTCCCTTTGTATGAGGTGTAAATTTAGAGCACAGAGTAAGGAGTAAGTCCTGAACACCGCCAAGTGTGGCCCCAAAACCAAAAATAAAATAAAATAGCATATGATATAATCACCTCATCAAATTAAATTTTAAATAAGTAAATAAATCAATAAAGTCAGTATGAAGGAGAAGAGAAAGTTTTGAAACCAGGATAAGTTTTCTTACTTGTTTAGAACCAGAAAAAACTAAGCCATATCTATTTCATGCAATCACACATAGAATAATCTACAGAATACATAGATATACTTGAGCTTTTCTCCTGTATTTTCTTGATGTAAGGCAATTAGAACCTAACTCAATGCTAAAGTCAATCCCATAATTATTATTAAATATTATAAACTCAAGGGCTGGAGCGATAGCACAGCGGTAGGGCGTTTGCCTTGCACGCAGCCAACATGGCCGACCCGAGTTCGATTCCTCCACCCCTCTCGGAGAGCCCGGCAAGCTACCGAGAGTATCTCGCCCGCATGGCAGAGCCTGGCAAGCTCCCCGTGATGTATTCGATATGCCAAACACAGTAACAAGTCTCACAACGTTACTGGGCCCGCTCAAGCAAATCAATGAACAACGGGAGGACCGTGACGTGATTATAAACTAAAAAGCTACTAATGAATGGCTAGTAAGAAAAAAGGTGTAACAATACACTTAATATTATTTTAGAAGTTTTATGCATGTTTACTGCCATTAAATCAACATTCCTAATCATAAAAGCTTCATGATTACACAGCAATGGTTAGTTTGACGACAAACATCTACACAAAAAGTATTCAGCACAAGCTCCAGGGAAGTAGCTCAAGTGGCAGGTGCAAGGGCCGAGGTTCTCCTCTGAGCTACACAGCCACCAACACTGCTGAGCGCGGCCTGAACACTATCAGGAAAGGCCCCGGGACCCCGGCACTGCAGTGCCAGCCCAGAGACCGCCTTGCCTGAAAACAGAACTTGGTGTATGCAGTAGTTATCATGTGTGTATTTGGTTTCCTTCCTCTGCCCTGTCCTGGAAGCATCACATATATCTTCTAATATCTTCTAATATAAAGAATTTGGGGGCTGGAGTGATAGCACAGTGGGTAGGGCATTTGCCTTGCACACGGACAACCCGGGTTCGACTCCCAGCATCCCATACTGGCACCTGAGCACAGCCAGGAGTAATTCCTAAGCGCATGAGCCAGGAGTAACCCCCGTGCATTGCCAGGTGTGACCCAAAAACAAAAAAAGAAAAAAGAAGAATTTTACTGAGGTCCACAGCAATAGTACACCAGGTAGGGTGTGTGCCTTGCATGCGGCCAATCCAGGTTTGATCCCTGGTACCCAATATGGTCCCCTGAGCCTGCCAAAAGTGATCCCTGAGCGCAGAGCCAAGAGTAAGCCCTGAGCACGCAAGGTGTGGCCCAAAAACAAATAAATAAAATCACAAAAAAACAAGTATTTTACTGACTCCAAACCAAGTTTTACTTAAAATTCAAATTCTCTGAACTCAGTAATAAAATATTAGCACAATTTTTTCCAAAGAAACAAAACTTTGTACCAAGGTGGTTTTATTGAACAAGACAAATAGTGACAAACATTACTAGGTTGTGAAGAAATAAAAAAATTGTCATATTGCTAAAAAAAACTATCATAAATTTAAATAAAAAACCTATTTCACTGGGGCAGAAAGATGGTAAAGGGAAAGGCACACGCTCAGCATGTGGACGACCCTGGTTTGACACCACAGGGTGCCCTGAGGAGCACTGCTGGGGGAGGCTGAGGCCTGCAGGCTGCCAGGGTCAAATGAGCAGCAGCACCACCCTCAGAGTCTGGCACTGAGTGGCTGCATCACTGGGAGTGGGGTCCCTGGATGCCCCGAGCGCACTAGGGAGCCCACCACTGCCTCCTCGCACCAAAAAAAACACAGAAGGCCAAGTCCATCACATACTGAAACAGCCACTGCCAGCAAAAGCTCAGCCATCAATCTGATCCGGAAACCAAGGGCAGCTCCCACCCCCGCACACCTCGAAAAGGGAAGGTCTGCCGCCTCCCCCCCCCCCCCCCCCCACACACACACACACACACTTACTTAGGCCTCTGTAGGACATAGGTTAAAAGGAATGTGCGCAGCGACTCAATGCTGCCCTTCTCCAGGAGAATCCATTCCCGGACCACGGCTTCCATGACGGCGGTAGCGGCTTGGAAGAGGACATAGTCCACTTTACTCGTTTCTGGGGAAGAAATTGGACACAGCCCATGAAGATGAGTCATCCTCCCTGGAGCACTGTGCATTCAGCAGTTTGAAAGCAGAACTTTGCAGGCAAGGAATAAGATGATTACCTGTTCTTTTTTTAATCCAGTGACCTTGTTCTAGCACCACAAAGAGGTTAGTTCCTCTCAGAAGACACCCCAGGCAGGTGGCAGCTAATCACCGATCCCAATTTTCACAAACTTTCCTCACCTCTCTTCAACTGTTACTTCCAAAGCATGAAGAACTAAAAAATAACACAGCTTTAAAAAAAATAAAAATAAAAAATATAAGGCAATCAGAAAATTTCCTAAGAGATTCTCACCCTGTGCAAAACAGAACAGTATGTCTGAAAAATAACTTCATAAAACAGCGTTTGAACATGACTATCTGTGATGAGCCGTGCTGTTGAGATGCTTTGGCATGTCCAGTAAGCAACACTTCAGCAGAAGGACCCATCGCCAATAGCAAGTTCAGAAATAAACACATCCGCATTTTGGTTATTTTTTCTTAAAATACGTATTCAAAAAATCAGTCACATTTGCACAAGGTGAGAAGTTCTTAGAAATTTTCTGACCGCAATACTGAGCAAACTGAGCAGAATCCCAGAGCTACACTTAGAAAGCTGCAGCCTGACTGGCAAGAAGCAGTATCTGGACTACGAAACCAACCCATCAGGAAGGAAAGAAAAAACAGAAAATTAACAACCTCAGAAATATTTTATATTAACTTTCCATGTTTTCTTTTTCACCAAAACCACTGCAATTTCCAAACAGCATTATCAATAGGCAGAAACAGTCAAAAATGAAGAAAAAGCAAAAATTTTCTGGAGCTCTAAAAAATTACCATCATGTGAAATTCATGAAAGGTCTATGATTAGACTCTAAATTATTTGCCAAGATCTCTAGACATGAGTATCAGAGTCATTAACTCTGATAGAGAAATAAACTCTAGGCAGAGAGTGGCACCTTCAAGAACTTCTCAGAGGAGCATGAAGACATGGCCAGGTACGTCAATTCCTCTTATTTGCCTAAAAATTTTATAAGCACTCTTGACACATTAGCTATGAAAGTGCTTGAGAAAAGTACATCCTATATATTTCTATCCTCATTATTCTACCACATAAGAATTTTGATAATACCCAAACTTAATAAGGAGTCCAATATGAACCTTTGGTTTTTAAAGTGTGATAATTCCATGCTATTGTAACATGAATTCTGAACTCACAAAAATTTTAAAATGTTAAAATGTAATCAACAAATAAGCTTCCCAAAGATTAAGTCTATCATAAAAAGATGCATTCAAAGTTCCGGGAAGGAAAAAAAAAATACTTCATTTGAAGATGATTTGAAACAGAACCTGTTTTATTTAGTAAGATTACTTAAAGAGAAATATGGTACTGCATAACAAAGGTAAGTCAAATCTCAAATTTTAAACCTCTTCTTAAAGAAAATGATATTCAGCCTGTCTTCATTCTCTATTGCAAGGGGGGAAAAAACCTGGAAGGGCCACCCCCAGCAGTACGAAGGGCTGACCCCCAGTAGTACGCAGTATGCAGGGCAGACCCCCAGCTCTGCACCTGAGAATGCCCCTGGCAGTGCACAGGAGACTGAACTGGGCCAGCCATGTGCAAGGCAAGTGCCTTATCCACTGTACTATCAGCTCCAGCCTCTAAGCAAGAAAATTTAATGTAAAGAAAACTGAAAATCATTCATGGATTTTAAAAGGAAATGAAATCTCAGGGATTCACAGAATTTTAGAAATGTAACTCCAAGATCATCTCATTTGATTCCTGCATTTTTCAGCTAAAGAAATCTTTGTAACCAGAGATGAACAGAAACTCCAAGTCAGAGGGCTGGTGAACGAAGAGAAAATCAAATAAGCACCTTGACTTATCATGAGCAATGAAACTGGCTTATTTTGTGACTGGGTTCTGGACCGTTTTCCTTGCCTTTTTTAGAGAGGAGTGGCAGAGATGGGGGACAACTCAAAGGGGACAGGCACTAGAAAGTTTCCCGGGTAACTTTTTCTTAGATTCCCTAATAGTATTAAGTGAAACTGCCTCCAAGAATAAAGGAATATGAAAAAGAGAAAGCCAAATTTGAATTTTTCATTCCTAATAAACACTTCTCATAAAAACTATTAGCCTTCATAAACATCACTCAGAATCAAAGCGCCAGAGATGCTATGGAGGATGAGTCTAGAAGCCTAGCCGCAGGAAGAGCAGGCTTCACATAGAACGTGGGCTGCATCCATACCATGTCATGTCAACACCTGCCAAACTTCAAGAACTCATAATTCAACTAGAACTGCACTTCTAGGATGATCGTCCACCAATTAAGACACTGTCTAAACAATAAATCCTCTCAGTCCATGCACTTTAGCAGAAAGCCAACTCTCACGACCACAGCAATACTCGAGGAAGACGGGGAGGACTCTGAGGACCACATCAGAGCCGGCAACTGAGAACAGGTAGCAAGCAGGGCAAGAGCCATTTCCCCTGTGATATCTCATCCCCATGACAAGATTTACAAATCACTACACCAGTAAGATTTATTCCAATTTGACATCCACCTGAAATAGTCTGTCTTCAAGACAAAAGGTAAACAAAGAGAGAAAAGCACTGCTTTCTGACGGGGGAGCAGAAGATGACAAGCGGGATATGGGCTTAAGCGAAGCACCTGCATGGCATGTGCCAAGTCCTGGTTCTATTCCCAGTACCAAAGAACCCCAACCCACTGCGCACTGCCAGCTATGACAGTACAAGGAAGAAAACCCTGAGTTAATACCTGAACCCTACGAGACATTCAGCTCCTTACAATCACCTCTCTGACCTACTGACTGCTGTCTAAACCCAAAGTTACAAACTTTGGCTAATGCACAGGATACAAACAGATACCAATCAATCTGACTTCATTTTATTTTGCAATAGCTGAGATAAGAAATAAGAGAAATCCTCTTCTCCCCAAGAAAACTATTTTTTTAAAACACAACAAATTTTGCTCCAGAAGCACCAAACAATCCCTCACTATTTTGGCAGCATTTCTGAAGCAAGACTAGAACTCACTAGTTTTTTTTACCCAATAAAACGAGATGTGAATTTAGTATTCCTAAAGGCTGAAGACTTCTAACAAAATGCACAAACACACAACATGCATCCACAATTGTGTACATATACACAGGAGAGCAAACAAACAAAACAAAAACAATGAAAACAAAACCCTATAAAAAGAAATGAGGAAAAAAAAGGAGAAACGTAATAAAATTTCAGATAGAAGCAGGAAGAATGTCAAGAGGCCAGAGATGGACACATCAAAGTCTCCCCTTTATTAGACTATATTACCCAGACTTGCTACAACAATGACATATCACCACTAACTAAGAATGTGAAAATTCTGAACTGTGATTGGCTGCCACTTGCATGAGAAGTCTTCTTGGAGGAAGGGCCCTTTTGTGCTGGTGGCAACTAAGTAAGGAGTTAAAAGATTCTCTGTGAAGTTCAGATGCAAACATCAATGTAATACAGGCTTTGCTGCACATTAATGATTATGCTTGTAAAACATGCACTCAACCTTTTAAGCAGTTAATATCACAAAACTCAAATCAATTTTAAAAGCATGACTACGACTAGCCATATTCCAAAACAACCTCAAACCATACACAGAAATGTACTTCATGAAATATACAAACTCTGAAAAGGGAAAGAGTGGCATAAACAAATGCTCTATTAAAATACTTACAGCATAGGTCAACTATTTCCCAACAAGTGGAAAATGATAACTGAATTACAATTTACAAAGTCAGAAAAGCACTAATGGAATGGTCTTCTAGGCATATACCATGAAAACAACCTCAATTTAATGTTTCATGTTGGATATAATGATTTTCTAAATCAATGCTGACAATTTCAAGGTAACTAAAGGATGAGATAGGTAGGCTCCTTAAACTCTGAACAATGATGCCTAATTTCACTTCTTTAACACTAACAGACACGGGATAACAAACCTGTGTGCCAAAGCAAAGTTTAACAACTGACCAAGCTGGGGTCAGAGCACAGGGCTCAGGGGTGCAGGCTCTAAAACTGGGCTCAGGAGCCCAGTTCAAACCCCAGCACTGTACATGAGCCCCCACGCCACACCTGAGGTGGCACTGGAGGTCCTGTCACACCACCACAGGGCACAAACATTGAGCATCTGTCCCAGGCGGCTGAGGACTGCCAGGAGTGGCCCCAGGCTCCCTGATCACTTGGGAGACCCAAAGAGCAAAACAAACAAACGAAACCACACTGAAACAAAAATACACTCTAACCATGTCCTTTAGAATGCAAATGGTAGTCACCAAAAGTGTCCACCTAATGGGAAGAGCTAGTCCCTCAATGAGACGGTGCCCACTGCACCACCACTGCTAACTACGAGAACTTGAGAACAGGGACTGGGCCATTCTCAGGCTTATCAGAATCTCAAAAAGCCTGCAATGTGGCAACAGACCACGGGACCTCCCTTACTAGTAGTGCTTTCATCATGTCATGACGTTTGTGCCTCACAAGTTTAAGACAGTCCATGAAGTGACATGGTGTCATCAGTCCCTCTGATGAAAAATGGGCCCTAGGTGCCAGAGCGATAGTACAACTAGTAGGGCATTTGCCTTGCACGCGGCTGACCCAGGTTTGATCCCTGGCATCCCATACGGTCTCCCAAGCCTGCCAGGAATGCCTAGTACAGAGCCAGGAGTAAACCCTGAGCACTGCTGGGGTGTAGCCCCAAAACAAAAACAAAAAAAGAAAAGAAACAAGAGAAGTGGACGCTAAGAAAAGCGGGCGCTGGAGGTGAACTCGCGTGGTAGGGAGCACGGGACCTGGAATCTACAGTCCTACCCCAGTGCTCTTCTGAGTTCAACTTCAGTCTCACTGAGAAGCCCTGAATGGAGACTACCCTTAACTTTTATCACTTTTATCACAGGTCACTTTAATCTGGATACCTCCTGCCAGATACATTTTGTTAGATATTGTACTTTGTAATACTCAACGCATCAATTTTATAGTCGTGGATAATTCAAATAACCATTCAATGCCTTAAACATGGGTTATAACAAAGGTTTCAATTAAGAAAAATAGTCAGTAAGGGCCAGGGATATAGCTGAGAGGCTAGAACACAGGCTTTACATTTCTATTGTTATTTTCATTTTTGTTCAGTGCCAGGGATGGCACCCAGGGAGGGCCTACCCAGTGAAGGCAAGTACTCTACTACTGAACTATAACCCCACAGACTACAAACCTCATTGTTAAGATATTCATAAAATATTTTTTCCAAGAGTGAAAATAATCAATGCTTTATTTTGGAATATACATGATAGAATTTACTCATTTTTGCTGAACAAGCAGCATACGAACTGAAAGATTGTTTTAAAACTTACTAGAAACAATTAAAGTTCTCAAAAAACAAGTTAATTTTTAAAAGACTAGAATAAAGTACAATTACTACGATAAATGAACACTTGAAAACTAAAAGAAAAATAAGATTTTCCCCATCATTACTACTACTAACAACCTTCATGTTATAATCAATAATAAAACAAATTATTGAGTACTATTTGGGTGTGAAGGTGGAATCCAAAGAGAACAAAATTTTCTCAGTGATTTTATACAGAATTATCTTTGAAGTCATTTCAGCAAAATGATTATTAATGAAAAATTGTAACTGTACAAACCTGCTTATTTTTAAAACAATTTAAAATGCCTAACATTCAAGGCTCGAGCGGGCCCAGTAACGTCTCCTACATTCAAGATAAAAAAAAACTAGATTTGATTATGCAAGAAATATTTTAAAGTGAATACTTACCCAAAATATGCTTGCAAACTGCAAATGGTGATTTCGATTTCCTAAATGATAAAAATATGTGCTCTGCATGCTGGCGCTGTTCATTATTGACCATGGAAGGCGGTGCCTTGAGAGTTTAAAAAAAAAAAGTACACTTGTTTAGTAGGAAACCCTGAACAATGACAACCCTTTTACCCAACCAGAGATGTTTTCATTTTTAAGAGCTAATTTCTTGCATTTTTTTTAAGAACGGCAGCATAAAATTTCATTTTAAATATTTAAAATACAATTTCAGAAAAATTCCTGGCAAGATTTAAGTCTTCATCCTTTAAAACTGACTGTATTTTAGAAAGATATTTATCTAATGTCTTGAATTCACTATTTTTTGTTCCAAATATACCACTCCATCTAAATCAACCAAGTTCAAGAAATTTCCAAATTCTTCAGCATCAGGGATTAAAATTGATTTGTCCAGTAACTCTTTATGACAGTAATATCAGACAGTAGTATTTTTTATAGGAAGATTTTTCTAAAATTATCTCTAAATTAGAAAAATTAAGGAATAATTAAGTTTAGAGTATTAATAGCCTTCTGTATTGATTGATCTAAAACATACATGGGCCCGCTCCTCTCTGGAAAGAAAGATGGCGGCGGCACGGGAGCCTTGTGGACAGCAGGTTTGAGCCGGGCTCGGCGGGAGCGGCGGGGACCTCATGGGAAGGGGGGCTTTGTGGGCCGTCCCCCACGCCCCACCGAGGTCGCCAGCTGCCCCCCACGAGCGGCTCTCCGGCACGGCCACGACTCCAGGGCACAGAAACCAATCTCTTAACTATCTAACTTTTAATAGAAATTCTTCCAGGGTCAATAAGTAAAATAGCAGAAATTCAAAACCATCCAAAAAACATCATTTTATTCTTAAACCAAGTTGTAGAAAGCAAATCATTTCACAACGCTGTTTCAGCATGTCTGATGGGGGGGTGGTCGTAAACTCTAAACAATAATTGTGCATCTTCTATCGAAACAATGTATCTAGTCAATAGATAGAGTATTAACTAGAACTCATCTGCCTCACAAGGATTGGGAGGGGTGGGGGGAGGTGGGGGTCTATTGGGGTTCGGGGTTAAAGATAAGTATTGGTAAAGGGAAATGTGTTTGATATTTACATGACTGAGACCTAAACCCGAAAGCTCTGTAACTTTTCCCACAGTGATTCAATAAATAAATAAATTATAAAAAAAAGATGAAATCATGAAATTTACATGCAAGTGGTACTACATGAAACGTATCATGCTAAGTGAAATGAGTCAGAAAGAGAGGGATAGACATAGAAAGATTGCATTCATCTGGGGAACATAAAGTAACAAAATAAAAGACTAACACCCAAGAATGACCGAGATTAGTAGCAGGAATTTTACTCCATGGCTTGGAGGCCAGCCACACATCCTAGGGGAAAAGGCAATTCAGATAGAGAAGGGAGCACCAAATAAATGGTGTTGGGAGGATACTCCCAGGAAGGGAGAAGCATGCTGAAAGTAGACTATAGAGAAAACATGATTGTCACCCATTGCCTCTTTTGCAAACCACAACACCCAATAAGACAGAGAGAACAAAATGGAATGCCCTGCCACAGAGGCAGGGTGGGATCGGGGTGATGGGGGTTGGGAGGGATACTGGGATCCGTGGTGGTGGGAAATGAGTACTGGTGGAGGGATGGGTATTTGATCATTGTATAATTGAAACCCAAGCAAAAAAATTTGTAAGTCTAAAACTGTACCTCATGGTGTCTCGCTAATAAAAATTAAAAAATAAAAAAATAAATAAATAAAAAATAAATAAATAAAATAAAAAAAATAAAAAATAAAACATACATGCCCATTTAATAGTTTAGTTATATTTGAGACTCAGTTGAAGAAATGAGACAGAGATGACTTAGAGTCCTACATTCAATATATCAAATTTCTCAAATTTTGGAGGAGAGAATGAAGGTAGCTGATAAAAAAAATAAACCTTTGTCATCAGAGTCAAAAAGTATACATTCAAGTGAAACCTTGATACTCTAGCCTAAAGGAATGCTTATCATTCAAGTCTGCTCAGACTACTATCCTAATGATAGAGCACCCTCTGCAGAAATCCACCAACACTTTTTAAGATAAAAATAAAATATTTTATTAAGGAATTTATGTTAAATTATTCAAAATAATTTAAATTAAAGATCAATTGAATTTGTCATTGTTTGTGAGCCAGAGAACAAACTCAGGTTCTCACATACACAGGCCTTGGTTCTACTAGCTGAGAAGCTGCAGATATTAACTTACAGCTCCATGACCCTTAGGCCCTCTTCAATTTTGGGGGGAGAGAGGTAAGGCTGTTGGTTTGGGGGGCTTCTGGTGAAACCTGGTGGTGCTCTGGAGATCATACATGGTGCCATGGATTCAAACCAGGGACATGAGATGTGAGGCAAACGCCTTAACCCCTGTACTATCTCTCTCTGGCCTCCGACCTTCAGGGTTTTATTTCCAGTCTTATTATGTTTTAAAAGATTTTATTTTTTTAAAAAAGATTTACTAATACAGCTATGAGCAGCTAATTATACTAAATATAAATATGCTTGTCTTTCTACTTACAAATACAGACTTGAATTCCCAATATTGTTCCCAATCTGAAATACTGCGTTATACACTATTTTATCACTATTATCTGTTGAGTATACCTTGATATGTAAAACACATTAATAAACACTATTAAATGCTATATTCCAGATATAAAAATAAAATCAATTATCCAAATACTCTCTAAATTACATATTATTTCTTCTTATCCTCCTTGATAAATAAGTTATATGCATTTCACAGCGGGTAGGGCGTCTGCCTTGCACGCAGCCAACATGGCCGACCCGAGTTCGATTCCTCCGCCCCTCTCGGAGAGGCCAGCAAGCTACCGAAGAGTATCTCGCCCGCACGGCAGAGCCTGGCAAGCTCCCCGTGACGTATTCGATATGCCAGACACAGTAACAACAAAACCTCCAATGGAGACGTTACTGGGCCCGCTCGAGCAAATCGATGATCAACGGGAGGGCCTTTACTTTACTTACTTACAAATTATTATCCTAGCTGTTCTACAGACAAACATGACTGCTAACATCAACAATCTCTGAACACCGCACTCTGAACAAGTCCAGGCCCAGGCTCAGCAGGCGGGAGCACGACACAATTCCCGGCACCACACAGCTGCCCACTACCACCACCAACACACACACACACACACACACACACACACACACACACACACACAAGCCTAAATACTGTTACACAAATACTGAACTATAATTTAATCTACCCTAACCACCTGGTTAACATTTTAGCATCCAAAAACAAAATCATTAAACCAATACTAATGCACAAAACTAATACTAATATAAAAAAATATTAATGCATTATTCAAACTTCCCCAAATTCACCCCCACTTCTACATAACTTTCTCTTCAGAACTCTAGCTTACCCTCCAGAAAAAAAAAAACCTAGTTTCACTGTCTCCTCCATCAATCACCTTCTCCCTAGGCAGCCCAAGCCCTGAGGTGTCTGTCCCCACCTTGGGGACAGTTACCACATAGAACTCTCTTCTCTCCCATTTTCTTCCCCCACTGTTACCGAGTACCATGACTCCCAGTGCTATAAATGGTAAGTGTCGTGTGTGTGCGTGCGCGCACATACAAGCACAATTCCCACACCACACCCTCAGAGAGCCCACTCCCTCCACCCGAGTCCCAGAAACCCTCCCAACTAACCCCACCCCCACCCCCACGAGAACAGATTCTTCACTGTTTTTTTTGAGGCCAGGAAATTTACTTGAATCTGAAAATTCCTAGGGTTGGCATACATGAAAGGGAGGAAGGGAAATGAAGGGAGGGAAAAGGAGGGATGGAAGGAAGGGACAGATCAAAAGAGGGAGGGAACAAGAAAGGGAGGGAAGGAGGCTACTAATCAGAGACCAAGTACTTGACATTGTAATATGTCAAGTGGATCACCAGACCGGCAGATATAAAGGCAGAAAAATCAACATTAGCAGGTGATACTAGTATCAAGCCCACTCTACAGAGTGGAAAAGATACATAAGAGTAAGATACATGTTCAATTTCTTAGGCAGCAAAGGCTAACTGGTAACAGAAACACAGTAGGGAGGTAGGTTGGTGATTAGTTAAGACTTGTCTGTCCCTGTAACCTAGGGGACAGAAAGGAAGCAGACCCCCCAGTCTCTCTCTCTGGGACCTGAAAAAAGACACGAGCACTTCACTGCAGTTTGAGGAGCAGCAGAGGAAAGCAGGAATGAAGGGGCTTGATACTGCTCACTCCCCCTCGAGTTCTCAGTCACCAACAGTAACAGCTTTCTTTCCTGCTCGGAGTGATCCTTGAGCACCAACCACTGAGTGTGGCCCAAATCCCTACCCCCCCACCCCCACCCTCCACACACTCCAAAAAAAGTTTTCAAAGAGCAGACACTTCAGAGCCGGGAAGATGCATCTCTGGGGACTGAGCTCAATCCCATGCAGCCCAGTTCTGCGGGGGCATCATCGAGAGCTGCTCTGCAGAGCTGGGATCCAGACACCCCCTAGCGCCAGAAGCAGGAGCAGTAGGCAGCAGAGCTGAGAGGGCGAACAGCAAAGGGGTCCAGGGCAGAGCCTGGGAGCCGAGCAGCAGGCCAGGCACGGGGCACACATGTTCAGTCCTCCCTGACACAACAAAGAGCACGCAAGTGTGTGCCTCTGACACCGTGACCACGAGCCCAACAGTCTAACATACAGTTCCTGCCACCAGACCGAGAGGGACACCACACGGCTCACGGGGGCTCTTGTATGCCAAGCAACACGCACTGCCCCAGAATGAGTAAGAAAAACACTGGCTGCTCTAACAGAAGAAAGTCATCCAACAGTCAGGTAAAGTATTCTGAGAGTCTACAACTTGTGGCTCGCTCCCTGCTACTATGCCAAAAGTCAGGAATTCTAATGCTTGGGGCCAGAGAGGCAGTACAGAGGAAAGGGCGCTTACTCTGCCAATCTAGGTGCGATCCCCAGCATCAGCATCCCATACCTCCTGCACGGCCAGGAGTAATTCCTGAGTGCAGAGCCAGGAT